TACCCCGCAGCAGCTGCGGCCGCCGCCGCCCTCCACGCCCAGGTGAGTGATCACACGGCTCCAGTCTAATGTAGTACAGGCATGTTCTCACTAAACCATGATCAGGGCATCTACTGCATGCATCTGAGACCTGACTGTAGAACAGAGTGGCCCAAATGTCACCACTGCTCACTACCTGACCGTGGCTCCAACTCTTTCTTACTACAGCAGTCAGTTTGGGCCCTACTCCCTCCACTCGAATACAATAATTTGTTGTGTTGTTTTTGGAGTTAAATGCTGCCATTTAATAGCCATGACTGAGTCCTTTTGAGGCTGTCATTACATTCCTGAAGTTAGTTTATATGTTCTTTGAGTGTTTTACAGTTGTGAGTTATAAGGAGTTAAAATAAAATGCTTGTATAAAACACTGGTAGTTTTCCATCTTGATAAATCCTTGACTGTTGGTCTTTGTTTATGCAGCATTAAACTAGCAGTAGAGAGTTGCTGTTAATGATAACAATGGAAAGTCTTCCTCACTGGGTCGTGTGGAGTTCAGAGCAGACTTCCGTGTGTGATGTAAGCCTGTGGGCACACCGGCTCAGGAATGTGAGTGATGTGCCTGGAGAAAGTGCCCTTTGGCCTTTACGAGGTACCAACCTATGCATGCGGCGAGGGGGCAGAAGCTGGCACTGATGTGGGGAGGGCTTTTATTGAGATGTGCAGAGAGATCCAGTCAGTACACAGCTCCTTCCACTGTGTCCTTCCCCTGTGCCCCATGTCATTAGATGTGCAGAGCGGTGATGTAGTTAGCTGTGTTTGGATGGTCCCTGGTACAAGAACAGACTTTGAGCGGTCCAGTTCCATGGCTCCTAATTACCACATTGTCCCGAGCAGCTCTGGCCCATATTCCCATGACTTCAGTCCGTTCCCACTGTATGAGCCAGGAGAGAGGGGGACTGTGTATCATCACTGTGTTTGTGTCTCTTTAGATGCGCTGGTACCCCACTCCATCTGAGACTTCCCAGCCCGGATGGAAGTCCCGGCAGTTTTGTTAGATATTTAGTGAGTAACCTTTGGTCCAACAGTACATTTTTAGTTTATTTCCCCCCCTCTTCACTCCCCTTACCCAATGTGCAGCAATGTTTTCAAGAGAGTTTCAGGCCATCCGTTTTCAGTTTGCATCATCACAACCCTTAAGCAGTCCATATTTGGTGTTTAGTTTGGGCATGGCGTCATCTGTGGTAAAGGACAGAATAAAGCAGTGTGATTTTTAACTGAGACTGCACAATATGGGGACAACTTTGGCACTTTGGATTTATATGAACATTTAAGGCAATAAAGAGAAATCTGAATGCGTTTTTGTGCATTGTAAACTTTCTAGTCCTGCTCCACTGTCTGTCACTATGGGAATGTTTTTGCTTTGCCTGGACAAGATATGTTACAGGTCAGATCAGTGGAGAGGCAAGCTTGCTCACAATAAAAATACTTTTTAAAGAACACCCAATAACTTCAGCACAAAGTGCTGTCCTTCTAGGCACTGAAAAAAATTGTTAAATTTTCCCAGGCTTGTTACATCACAGAAATCTTGCACAGATTGTAAGTATATAATTTCCAGACTTGTTCTGAGCATTTCTGCCATCAAAACACTTTCATTACTATTGCGTATTTAGCGTACTTGTCCATGTTGAAAGGCCAATAACAATGTTGGTTTCATTATTTGTAATTTCTTTAGCACTAAGTGCCTGTAATTTAATGAGTAAAGTCATTATTTAACATGCCAGGCAAAGTTCAAACTCTCCACCAGAGAAGTTACAAAGTGCCTCAGTGCAGTGGTGTGGGTTTGTTGTGCAGTCTGGGTTGTGTCATTTAAATCCTGACACTTCTAAAAGTGAAAATGTGTGTGCTTTTCTCCACAGGTGTCTGGGAACCACGCCTTCGTCCAGCTGAAGTGAGGTTTGCCCAGTTCATCGTTAATTTAATCAGGTTTATTTAACGGACAGATGTGCATTAGAATCAGTATTTATGTCCTCCCCGTGCCCGAGGGGAGCGAGCGCTTCTTTGCTGTCCACAATTGTGAGCGTATCCTTGGCAACTATTGCGGTACCGTCTTGGCCCTTCTGAAACCTCGTTCTTCTCCACTAAACCACGGAAGGCGACGCTACAGCCCGTGATAATTGCTCCCCTCCGAGTGTGCGGGGTGTTTAGACGTGTTCAGTCTTTGCATGTTAGACGTTTTTGGCATGACCTTAGAACGCAGAGTTGTGTGTGTGATCCTAATTTCCCTTGTGTTTGTGTTTCCTCTTTATCCGTAGACAGCAAATATTGAGTTGGTTTTTTTTCTGTCGAACTTGGCTCTGTGAAAGCTAGGCTGTTGTGTAAATGGCTTATCTCGCATGGACTTTTGTGAATGCATCTCTCCATTCTGACAACCCCAGTCCTTTTTGACCATATCTGTGTCTGTCATTATTTGAGCAAAAGAAATATTTGTACTTTTGCGTAATGTATATTTATGCATTTTGGTGCAACTAAATATGGAACCTGTATAAGTTTTGGATGTTTAGTCGTCTCTTGTGTTTTTTCGGTGTTATTTTGAAACTATAATCCTGTTTAAAGTAGTTTTAAAGAAGAAAAAGTGCAATTTGTTTAAAGGGGAAGTGGGTATTTGTCAAAAGTATTCAGAACGTGGCCAGTGCCAGTGTCTGCTAATAAGAGATTGCGCTCCACTCTTGAGAATGTGAAAGTGAACTCTAAACAGAAGGGTTGCTTTGGGGAGGGCCTTTAACAGCAGGTTTGGTTGTAGATTGATAGTATGAAGATATTTAGTTTGTGGTTTAGAACATGTTTGTCTCTGTATCTGCTGTGCATAAGATGTTAAAAAATGACCCATCTTATGAATAAAATAAGTGAATGCATTTAGTAGTTGTGTCATTCTTCCACTGGTGGAATGTAATGAGGTAAAAGTAGTAAAGCATTGTACTGAAATACAATTTAGTTTGTCTTTGATACTTTTATTTCATTACATTTGAGTCTGTATATGTACTTTCTACTCCACTACATTTTTGAACAGGACTGAAAAGTAAAAAATAAAAAATTAAGACCCATTACAGCCTGAGGGTTTATTCCGAACACATTTATGGTTTGAGCAAACAAACATACAAAGGAAAAATGGCTAGGGAATAAAAGTTGCCATAAATCTCTCTAAATTTGAAACTTTTAGACCTTAATCTGTGTACACTTTTTTTTTTTTTTTTTTAAAGTAGATCTTTTACTTGAAGTTTTTTGGGTTGTTTTTTTTTTGCTCTGGTGTCTATACTTTTACTTGAGTAACGAAACTGAATACTACTTAAACCACTGCAGACTCAAGAGCCAATCAGACCTAAGCACCGCAGGTCTTTACTCAACGACGAAGGACTTGAACTCAACATGTTAACATCAATAATTCCTCCTCCTTTTCATTTGTAATGCGCCGATGCATTAGGTTTTGCATCACATGTGCAGGTGGCCTCTGCTCATTGGACCACGAGACTCCCGGGACTCTGCTCTGCCTCATACCAACAGCTGCTTAATACATACATACACGGACAATGACAGATGCTATAATGGGAACCCTATACATTATTACAGTATATGATGATAAAATGTGTTTCGCCCATCTCACTCAGTCCAGATTTGCTCATTGTAGGCTGTATATTGTGCCAGATGCTTTTTTTAATCAGATGAAACTGAAAAATTAAATGACATTACTATTGCCATTAGATGTACTTTTTTTTTTTTTTTTTTTTTTTTTAAGATGATAGCAAAAAATGTCTAACCTGCTATTAAATGTTTCTTGCATTTTAAATTGCATTCCTTTTCTGAAATTCTGAAGGTGTTAAAAACGAAATTCTGTCTTTCCAGTTAGCTCAATATTATTAAAGTGATTTAAAAAGTATAACATTATAGAAAGTAGATCCTGGAGGTTAAAATGCCAGCAAAGAAAGATGTCTTCCAAGCCTGTGCCCTTCAGCTTCTTGGTGTTCAGCTTCGTCATTTTCACAAAGAATATTTGGATTGACATAAAATCAATACAGTGCGAAAATGTGCATGCAGCACATTGAACACAATTTCTGTTCTCTTCTATTGGACCTTTCGTCATTAGAAAAGGAATATTTGCGCAAATAGTCCATCTTAATTAAATCGTAAGTGAAAATGTATGGAAGGGAATTTGATAAGACAAATCTGTCTTTGATGTAACCTAATTCAGTTTCAATCAATAAATATTGGGATAAATATAGTTTATTTTTTATATGCCTATAATATTAATTATATTCGTAAATATGAGTCTAATGAATAAATACGTTTATGGCAGTTGTTTACTTCTGGCATAAGCCTAAACGTAACATTTCGCCTAATACAATAAATGTTCAATAAAAATAATAAAAAAACGAGTGTTTTTTATTGTAATTTTATTATTTTATGTAGCTGTTAGTGGTTTTCAGATTTTAGAATGTCGTACTCTGAGATCGGGCCAAGCGCCAGCTGTTTTTTGTTTTTTTTCATTGATTATATTGTACTTTGCAATGAATTATCCAAAAGGTAAATTTACAAACGATGAACCCGATCAAGAACTTACTGTAGTAAATACAAATCTACCTTTTTAACAATATTAGCTGCCCGCCATCTTTATGGAATATTATTGGATTTTAGATTGTTTTAATGTCACCTAAACCCTTGCAATTAGAACCGTGTTTTTGATTACTGGTATTTTGGTTAACACATTGTCCATAACACGACAACTATAATTCGAGACTGAAATAAAAAATCGCTTGAAACCGAAAGCGTTAAACATTTCATGGAGAACTGCTGCCCTCTGGTGGGCAGTAAAAAAATCCGGACGCCCCTGAACGCAGCTGGTGTCTTCCGTTTCCATGGAGACGGACTCGCGGTGAAAAGCTAAACATGAATTGCTGATGTTTCTATTAAAGTAACTGGTTAGCTCCTTTAAAAATACCAATTCACCGTTCCTTTACTGTTTTACCGACATGGAGGCGCCACATGGTCCCGCAGAGGAGCTCCACCACACCGTGACCGTGACGGTGCAGCGGGGGAACAAACTGGTACGGTTTATACAGGGTTTATACACGGTTTTATACGTTTTTTTTACACGGTTTGTACACTGTTTATCAAGCTTTGAACATGGCTAGTTATACATCTGTGCTCATTTGCTTGTTTTAGCCAACTAACGTTAGCAGTTAGCCCCCCCACCGTCCCCCACCAAAATGGATGTTAAAGTTTACTTTTTCCTGAACTTTGAATTTTTTGAAATTCAAGGAATGAATTACAAAATCTTGATGTTTTTATTGCAAATACTTAACTCAGTATCTAATTCAACCAATATTAAATGGTTCTTGTATTTACCTTTTTTTTTTTTTTTTTTTTTTTTTTTTTTTTTTGGTAAATACTAAGAAACTACTAGACCTGATTTAGTCCTGGTTCAGTCCTGATTTAGTCCTGGTTCAGTCCTGGTTCAGTCCTGGTTTAGACCCGGTCTAGTCCTGGTTTAGTCCTGGTTCAGTCCTGGTTCAGTCTTAGTTTAGTCCTGGTCACTGGGACTCCCCACCAACAGTAAAGAGTAAAAATCTGCTTAAAAAATGACTAAAACACAAAGAAAATGTGAGTATACCGAGTCACATATTATCATGAATGGGCCAAGTGCAGAACAATTTTCCTTAATGATACACTTGTTTCAGAATGTTATTATTACCAACCACCAAAAAAACAAGGATGTCCCAGTTTTTTATTTTGAAAATCTGGTCACCCTTTGTTCCCCGTCCCATCAGATTTATACAAAACCAGTGATTTGTTGCAGTTTTATACAAGAAATGTCCCAGGTGTCCCTATTTTTGACCAACTTTGTCTAAACCAGGACGAAACTAAGATTAAACCAGGACTACATCAGGTCTAAATCAGGACTAAAACAGGACTGTCACAATTTTTGACTAATCTGAGCATAAATTGCCACTTGTTTTGCCAAAATACAGAAAACCATGTTGTAAATGACCACAGGTTCTGCTTTATAATAATAACAATAATAGTAAATTTGATTAAAGTTCACTTTGTTTCTGCTGATCCAATACAAACAAATGAAAAGATAAGATGGTTCCATACTGTTAGCCTCATAGCAAGTAATTTTTCAAGACAAAACAAAAACACTTTTTTATGAAATGGTTGAATATTTTTTGACTCTACTGTCACGTGTTCTATTGGAGTTGTCAATAAGTGTGTATGGTTAAAAACATGCAGCCATATTATATAACAGAACAGCTTTTTGTGTACTGAATTGGCCATGGCTTAGGCGGTTTTATACACTCTGTACATATAATCCACCCCATTCACTAACTTTTATCAAAGACTGGAATTATAGAGGGCATTTCTAGATGCTCAAACACAAGAGCATGCTGCTTGTGGTGGGATCACAACACCAGCCTTCATGTAGCTGGTATGAGCATGTACAGTATCAACTGAATGGGTTTATGCTGCTCCCTCAAAATGTGCCATAACAACTTGTATAGTTTATGCATCTTTGTCTTGTGTTTGTTTACTTTTAGCAAGGGCGTAAGCCAGAGTTCCAGAGTTTTGTGAAGGTGGAGGTGGACGAGACAGTGTTGGGAGAGTCAGAGAAGAGGGTGAGGGACCCATCTGAGAACTGCTTTAAGTATGACTTCAGCTGCAGCTTCCAGTGCTCCAGGGACCCCCAGGCCATCGCTGAGTTGGCCAGGAAACTCATCATAGGTATTAACTAAACAACACACAACTTCTAAAAGTCAATACACAGTAATACTAAAGCACATTTTATACCAGTGGTGGGCAATTCTTTTTTCCATGGGACCACATGAGAAACAGAAAATATTGTGGAGGACTGGGCCAAAATGCTTAACTCAATTCTGCATAATCTGAACTGTATTTCTTTATAAAAGGCAGTAAATATAATTGTTTTGACAAGCTGCTCAGACTGGTAAGAGTTTATGTTGTGATTTAACAATGAAAAAATGAGGCTGCCTTACAAAAAATGTGATAAAAAACACCTCTGAAATAATAGAAATGCAGCTTTAGTTTATGCATGAGGTAAAGTAGTAAAATATGTTTATTTTGTAATTCCAAATAAGCTTAAATGGCCCGGTCAGAGTCAGCCAAAGCCATGTATGTGGCCCGGGAGCTGTACAATGCCCAAGTCTGTTTTAGACAATAGAATGTCTGAAATATAAGCGTTTTATACAAGCTCAGATAGATTCAGGAACGTTTGTATGATTCTGTTTATGATTTCAGTATTAAAACAATTTTCTAATTTGTAAGGCTGAACTGGGAAAATATGTATGCAATTTTTCTTACAATGACTGCGATTAGATTTGAGGTTTATGTTTTGATAAAGGAATTCTTTTCAAAGTTCACATGTCTAGAGGGAAAAACAAAAAGACTCAAAAATATGAACTGACAAAGTATGTTTAATCTGATCAGAATTTGGCGTTCTTTCAGAATGGTAGGACATATCAGAACGCGATGTCAATCCGCCGCTTATTACACACGTAGACACCACATTTATACTTGGCATGGTGCGTGAAGTGTCAACAACAAAAGCTGGTCTACACTGGCTAAAATAAACCAAACAGTTACACCAAAGCTGAACTAGGAGTAGATGAGGTCTATACCGGGAAGTGAGTCCAAACTGAACTTCCTAACTGAAACTAAACCAGGTCTAAACCATTAGAACATTGATGCATTACTACAGGTCCTTGCCATAATTTATACTCTAAACCAGCACTAAACAAGAACTAAGAAAATCGAGATCTATAGAACCTTGCAAACCGCCAACAGATAAATTTTTCTACAGTTTTGAGCACTGATGGTCAAGAATTTAAATATTGATAGAAGAATTTTACACAGATTCTTTGTACAGTCTTTTTTTAGCCAAATTATTGATGTACCATGTATTGTTTTGTTGTTTCCAGTGACGGTGTTAGACTTCCTGCCCGAGGAGAAGAAAGCTGATGCCAGGACCGCAGTGCTGGGCCAGGCTGTGCTGGACTTCCTGCCGCTCCTACATGGTGAAATCACGTACATGTGCTTGTGAGGTGGTACAGGTGCTACTCATATTTTGTCATGTGCTTTTTTTTTTCCAGGCCAGACCAGTTTCTCAAGCAAAGTGCCTCTTTATTCAGCTGCTGCCATTCAAACCAAAAGCCAGGATAACGACAACAAGGCTCTGACTGTAATTACAAGCCATATGTTTTAAGCACTCGTCTAATACCAGTGGCTGTTAAAATGTAGTTACATAGGTTGCATTAAAGGTTGCATTCAAGTTTTAAGTGATGACGTCCTTTCCGTGTCCAATTTGGTACTTCAAAGCTGATTTCTAACACTATATGCCATAGTGCTGAGCTCCTTTTTGATCAAACAAGAGACAATTACTAATATTGATATTTCAAAAATGTGTTTAACCACTAACTGTATCAGACATGTAAATAATCTACATATTAGATTGCATTACCAGTGTGTGTATCTGACTAACTGCAGTCCATCACTAACACTTACATCTTACCCAACCTTGTACACTTATATTACTCTTGTTATAGTTAAACTGCTACTGCTTTTTAATAAAATAGAATACTTGTTATCAATCAGCTGATGTGCCTAGGACCCAGAAGTGACATCACACTTAACTACACTATAATAGGTTTGTTTAACTGGTTCATGTTTAATAACTTATTTTTTCACAATAGTTCAAAAGTAATACCATTATTCAACCCCAATCCGTCAGTATTGACACTTTCTTAAATGAGTATTTAGTTTTGATACTAGTTTTAAGATTAATTAGTATCTGATTTTTGATACTTTTGACAACCCTATAATGGTGTTCCCTCATAATTAACTTATTCATGAATGTTTTAGTAATCCTATATTGTTCTGCATCTGAGTGCTGGGAAATTTGTTGTTTTTGCCTACCCCCTGTATTCACCCTCTGCTCTGTACTATTAGTTCTGCATTTTTGAACAGGACAAACAAATACTGAGTGCACATTAATGAAAACAACCTGTCGGTACAATTTCCTCAGCAAATAACTCAGTGATTGCAGTCTGTGATATTGGCTGTTGTGTGTTGCAGCCCTGTGTGGACATGGTGGTACATGTATCAGAAGCTTTGGTGTCTGCAGAGGCACTGTCCTCCTCTAACCTGCTGAAGGTCACCGTGGAGACGGCCTTCTCTGTCCCAGATTCCTGGACACTGCCTTCAGGCTCCTCACCCACCGCCAGCTCCTACACTGCAGCGCTGGAGGTCCCTCTCACAACAGAGGTTAGAATCAAGAACACTACCGTATTTTCCGCACTATAGGACGCTCTGGATTATAAAGCGCACTGTCATAGAATGGACTATTTTCAAACTTTTTTCACAAATAAACTGCGTGGGACTTTAAAGGAAACACAACAGTTGGATGGGTGAGTGGTTTTATTTGTTTGGCGCGTTCACGGTGACTCTGGGCTTTGTTCAGTTGTGGCGTGTAGGGAGGGTGCTGTCTGGGACCAACGGATTGTCGGCGTGTTCGCAGTGACTCAGTTGTTCAGTTGTGTCTAGAAGTGGCACATTGCGCTCGCTTTTTTGGTTCGTTCCTCCGTTCCATTCCTCGTCGGCGTGGAGTGATGAGTGTGTCTGTGGGTGTTTTTCACTGTGCGGTCACTGTCTGCTCCGTGTGTGTTTGTGTTAGTTTACTAAAGTCGTGCTGGGACACACAGGTGGATTTGTGTATAGGGCGCTCTGGATTGTGGGGCGTGCGGTCATTTTTGATGGGGTTGGAGGTTTAAGAGCGTGCCCTATAGTGCGGAAAATACGGTATAATATTTATGAACCACATATTAAAGAGATACTTTTTTACTGACTTGAAAAGATGAAAAACAGAACAAGTTCATTATAAACAGTTTGCAGTGGTCCAAAATTTTTACTCACTTCCCTTATGCATTCAGAGCATTTTAATTATTCACAGTGATGAGTTTATAAGCACTCTTCACAACTTACAGAGACTACAGTGACCTTTTGCTGGTGAAGAGACAACTAGTATGCTACTGCACACGTCCTCATTACTGTAAAAGAAAATGCTTTATAATTAGACGGAGACAGTACACAGAGGACATATGTGACATACATATAAGAGCTGCTTATACAATAATATGCACTGGGCCAAGACAAATGTTGCCCAAATACATGTGAAAAAATATGGTACAGGTCCTTTAATTTCTCCTAGTTATCTCAGTAATCCATTAAACAGATGTAATTTAATTTCAACTTGCCTGTCATTTTCAGAAAAATCAGATGCTTGTTTTCTTTGATGGGACGCTTAAAGCAGGAGGGCTGAGAGAGGAGAGGGGTCGCCAGAAAAAGAGACCCTTCCTGTCCCAGCTGCTGCCTTCAAACACTGTGGTGCCTGGAGCCTTTATAGAGCCAGAGTCCGTTGAGAATGAAGACGGGGAACTAAGAGGACAGGGGGTAAACACACTAAACATCAATTACCCTTACTAGTCGAGAGTACTTTGCAAAGTAGTGGTCCAACAATTTCACAACTAAAGGTATTTGGAAAAACTATTCAAGTAAGGGTAACATTTAAAACAAAACAGAAATAATGAACAATATCTGATGTTTCTGGTAAAGGACAAACACAAAAATGAGACAAACTGAATTATATTTGAAGGAGTGGTGCAAGAAATACAAATATTCAAATAATTTCATCTTGTCAATATAAAGTTTTTGTCACTTGTAGACTTACTCGCAATGGGAAGTGTAACCAAAACTTTTCATTTCAATAAAAATATTTTATAGGAATTAAATTATGCCGCTAAAAAAGTAAAATTTCTACCTTTTATCATGTCCATAAAAATCTTACGGTGATAAAAGAACTGTGTGACATGGGGCTCTTTCCACTGCTTCAGGATTTGTTGTTCCGTAAAGAGGCGGAGACAAAGAAAACCCGAGTGAGTTGGGACGTGGAGATGTGCTGCTTTCTCAACCAAGAGGCCACTAACAGGTCAGAGGCAAACCATATCAGAAACACTGGAAATTGTGTTGTTTGTATTGATACTTCACAGCTCATATCATTAACAGTCCATGATGCTAACTGTAGGCATGACTCTGTCTGAGGCTTTGCTAGAGTTTAACATGATCTTTATTTTAACACAATGTGACCAGAGAGAACTGACTTAGGTGGAACTACAACAGGTGAGATGATCTGTGCTGTTAAGCAGGTCTCTCTCAAATTACATTACAGCCAAGCTAGTTAGTGTTAGCCAACAGTTTTTTAGTCACTCTCATCTTTTTCTTGACAATCACCTGAAAGGGACCATGAATGCTCATATTGATCACAGGTTCCAGAAAATGTTTTGTTTAATTCCATTTTGTATTGTTTCTTCAAACTTCTGTTTGCTAATGTCTGCATTGTATCACCATGAAAACTGCTGAACATGAGACATGCATACAGAATCCCCCCTGCGCCATGTCCATGAATTCAGTGTATTCAGTTTGAGGACTCAGGACTCCCACACCTGACTATAAACAAACACAAACAAACTCAATATCCAAGCAACAACATGGAGACGTGTGTGAGAAGACTCATGCTGCAGTGCAATATTGCACAGTATTAAAAGTGCACATGACAATTTTCCATGGTTTTCTCATTATTCATTGATTTGGTGGGATAGTACCTGTGGTAAATATTTATTTAATTAGTTTTACATCAGTGAAGTGGCAGTTTGTGGAGGAAAGTTGAGAAGAAAAGTACAAAAATACTGGAAGAATCTACCTATGTCATCAACATGGAAATTTCCATCCTAACTGCACGAACAATTTGCATGGAAGGAACACAGTTTTATAACAGATTTATATTTAATTATATTCTTTATTTTAGTGCAATGCTTAGCCTATACTGCATTTTAAATTACCATGATGATGAAAAAATGACCAAGACTAATAGATTTAACCAGCTATTGTAGTATGACTAACACAGTATGTTAACTAACTAAACGGCCGTAAGTAAGTAAAAAATGTAAGTGAGAAAAACAAAAAGGACCTAATCACTTACCTGTGCTTTCTTTCTGAAATGTTTTTGGTGTGTATTTTAGGTTGCGTAAGTCAATCACCAAATGCAAACTGTGGCCGGTGGAGATCATGAGGTCAATGGATAGTAGTAAAGGGGTAAAAAATACCTATTATTACTTTTATTATTATTATGTTCATCTACCTGTCTCAGGTCAAATCTTTATGTGCATTGTGCCTGTGCTGCAGCAGCTGCTGGAGGAGACCACAGAGATCCCCTTTCATGGAGTGGCCTTTGTGGACATGGGCCGCCTGCTGTTCCCTGGAGCCACTCGCATCAGAGGCGCCTACTGCGTACAACCCTTCTCCGAAAGTCTGCTCTCAAACAAGGTGCAACAAGATCATTCTATGGTTATGATTCACTGCCTACTATGAACTTTGGTGACACTGCCCCCTTCTGACAGAGACTGACGGATTAGCAAGGATTTAACAAGTACTAAATCAAGGTCTTAAAGGCCCTATATTACACAACGTTGTCCCCTATGAGCTTTTAGCCATGACAGAATGTTGTTACATTATCAAAACTTACCTAGAGTTGTGTTTAGTTTCACTCACATGTTTGAATAATCCTTTATTATTAGTCTATCTCCAAAGCTCAGAATACTTAGTTCCACCTTGTGATGTCATGATACTGTAGTTTCCAAGTTGAGGATTACCTTTTACCTTTAGTCCAGTACATTAGTAATTCCAGGGCTGAAATTATCCAAATGATTCTAGTGAATGTATATGGAGTTTAAAACACAGTGGAGCACTTCCTGTATTACCACATAAATAGCACAAGGTGGAACAGAGTGCTTTTCATTTGAGAGAAGAACTCAGCCTAAATGTACAAAACTTCAGGTGTGTTTTTGATGAAGAAACAACATCATTGCATAGAACAGACTATAATGTAATACAGGCCCTTTGTCAAACACATACCTAAAAATACATAAGTACAGCTGTTCTCAAGAATATTGGTTGTTTTTTATCCAATGTATTTGTGATTTAAGGCCAAGCGAAGTGTGAGTGTGTTAAACAAGTATGCCAAGGCTGTGGCCACTGCAGCTCGAACTACCTCAGCGAAGAAGGGAGCAGTGAAGCGCTCTGCCAAGAAGGTGAGGAACTGTAACTGCTGTGATTTCACATATAATATGAAGTCATTATGAAGCTGCACTCTGGACTCCTAAATCAAACATGCAGCAGTTCCAGATGAACACACTCCTCTGCATTAGTGACATTACTCTGGGTGGTTCTGCATGTATGGTTATGGCAGAATGTTCAGCAATTACTTGATATACTTGCTTAACAATACAAATCATCTCACCTGTTGTAGTTCCAAATAAAGTTATTTTTTGTCAGATGGTGCTAAATCCAAAGCTTAGATTTAGGTCTGAATTGAGTAACGGAGCTTCAGATAGAGTGGTGCCTCAGGTTAGCATCACTCCCTTAGGGAATGTTGATGGCGTCAGCTGCAAAGTACTGAGATTTGGAACTTCTAAACTGTAGAAAAACTGCTCCAGAAGAACAAGCTCTACTCTTCTTCACTCTAATGAAACATACTTTTTTCACAGCCTGGTTTGAAAACGAACGGAACTGATGTGACTGAAATCACGTCTGAAATGGAACAAGCTGTCAACACACAGGGAAACGTGAGACTTTTATCTCAAAATAAACTGTAAAATATACCCTATATGCAATTGTTGAACTTACGTTATTAATTAAAAATCCCATATGCAGTTATATTTGGAGGCCAGGACGTATGTTATGATTGAGATTTCACTGGAGAAGCCGCTAATCCCCAAAACTCCCCCTGAGGAGCTCTCCAGAAGGTAAAGGAAACAGTGTAGATGTATAAACTCTATACTGTCTCAGGATATTATATGATTGACAAAACTTCATCATACTTTCTGTTGTTTTTGCATCTACAGAGTGATGGCACTGATCCCTCCTAAACCTCCTCTCGCTGAAGGACCCACCAAAGCTCAAAGTGTAAATGTGCTATATTGTTTCTTAGTTTGCAATGTGCTGCAAAATTGTCATGCATCAGGACAAACGCAGGACCTTCTGCACCAGCTCCAGAATCATTCACGTTTATCGCAGGTGCTCAGGGTGAACCTGCTCTCATCTGTGAAAAGCTCAGGGCATCAGTGGTAAACTTGCCAATTCTGATGTGATCTGGCAAATGCCAGTGGAGTTCCACAATTTATGTTATTAGGTTCTTTTTTCAGACCAAGAGTTTGTTTTCATACTTGGCAGTTTCGGCTGCTCACTAGCACTCTTCCTTAGAGTGGAGTTCCATACTGCTGTGCAGTGAGCACAGGGCCCACTACAGGAGGTGTTGCCCTCCAGCCACCCTCTTGAAGTCTATACCTGATTGTGAGGGCAGACACCTTCACACCAGTGGTCTGCTGGAGGTCATTCTGTAGGACAAGGGCAGTGCTCAGTCTGTTCCTCCAGCACAGAGGGGCAGATATGGGTCTTGCTGATGGGTTGAGGACTTTCTATGGCCCTGTCCAGCTCTCCTAGAGTAACTGCCTGTCTCCTGAAATCTTCTCCATGTTCTGGAGATTGTGCTGGGAGACACATTAAATCTGTCTATAATCTATACAATATACACTACAAAGGGCATCACTTGCAGTGTTAGGATAGCCTTCTTCATCATCCGATTTCACTTAGAAACCATCTGACCTCGCAGTGTTAGAATTTGTTCGCTCGACAGTAGGCGGGTACTTTTTATCATTTAACCAATCACTGGGATTTGGTAGTCACGTATGTAATGAGCCACGGGGCTAACTGGTATATTAAGCTTTTCCCAAATCCTGTAGGAAGAAGGACAATAACGTCTTTCCCCTTGATGAAATTCACCAAACATTCTCTTTGTTCTGGCTTTAAATCCTCGATCTCGGGAATTGTTAAAAACACAGAATATATGGCTCTACGCTGATTGGCTGGTGCCCCAACTCACACTTCCGGGGTTTTTTGCGAACCGTGTATTGTATTTTGATTCCTGACCTAGTTGCTGAAGAGAAACAAAATTGAGTGAAGGCACTAGGTGGCGCCAGCCTGGCTAGTGTTAGGGGTGTACACCATTAAAATGGTTGCTAATTGAAAATAGTTAGAATGACCCGCACAGTAGTTGAATTCACATAATAAGACATATTTTCATTAAGGTATGATTCTTCTTTTCACTGTGTTTTCCATGCAGGCCGTGCAGAACTTCTCTCGGCAGGTTGCAAAAGTGGTCAGCCATGTTTGTGAGCAGGTGGAGGAGCTGTACGGAAAAGACTGTTCACTCTCAGAGATGAACCGTGAACACATGAAGGCCGAGGTGATGGGAGAACTCAACATGTCCGGCAGATACTTCACTTTCAAAGAACAGCTAAAGGTGCACTTGTTCAATTTTAAAGGAGACATGCTTGCTAAATGAATTATTTATAATATTGTAATTACACAAGTCTTTATTTTTGTACTTTCTTATATTGGAAATTGAAAACAAAAGCAAACTACTACTACTACTGTTACTGCTACTACTGCTGCTGCTTCTACTTCTACTTTCACTTCCCATTGTTACCAACAGAGGGCAGCATACCCCTTTTCTCTTACATACACATTTTTACCTCCGCCAAGGAGGTTATGTTTTTGCCGGCGTTTGTCTGTTTGTTTGTTTGTTTGTTTGTTTGTCTGTTAGCAACATAACTCTAAAAGTTATGGACCGATTTTGATGAAATTTTCAGGATTTGTTGGAAATGTGAAAAGGAAGAACTGATTTCATTTTGGAGGTGATCCAGAAGAAATCCTGGATTCTGGATCACTTTGAAATTTTAGTTAACATTGTGGTAAATGGGGCCAAAAATTTTGTTTCTCAATATCTCAATTAATTATTGACCAAACCCCATGAAATTTGACTCAGGGATGGACAATCGGATCCTCTTTCATATTCCAAATTGAAAGATACGAGATAAATATTTATGGAAAACACAATTAATATGAGGGGGACTGTAGTCCTTGGCGGAGGTCTGCGCTCTCTGAGTGCTTTTCTAGTTTAAGTTATAAACCAGAAAAGACTGACATGACATTTCCAAAACAGAAATGGCACAATAACTTTTTTGTATCTGATCTTAACTCTTAACTAGAACGCCATTATAAGGATTGTTCGAGATAAAATGCAGAGGACTGAATCCATCACTAACCCCAGAGAGCTTCAGGAGTTTGTCAGTAAACTATACATCTACCTGGTGGACGAGACACACGTGGCTCTCAACAAGGTGATAGGAACAGCACTGAGCAAGATAACAGTACATGTACAGTTTAACTATTTTGTACTTACATTGTAAATTCATACATTTTTTCCCAGATTTACACAGATGAAATCGATGTTGAGACAGAAGGCTTTCATTTGAGTCAAGCCCAGCTCAGACATTTTGCCAAAGAAGCTCAGAGTGTTGGGGATTATAATCAGGCTCTTCAGTACTACGAAGAGGTACAGCAGTTAATTTTGTTCTATATTACAAAGAACTAAATTGACTTAAACTCTTTTGAGCACATCAAAAACATACCTGGAGTTGTGTTTTGTTTCATTTATACATGTCAGCCCAGCATTATTAGTCTGTTTACATCTCTATTTTCAATTTAACAGCTCTTTTTTGCTGTACAGATATGGAAATTGCAGGGCTGAAACTATCCAAATGATTCTAGTGAACGTGTATGGAGTTTAAAAATACAGTGGAGCACTTCCTGTATTACCACAACAGAGCAGGAGTTGTGTGGATAAAACAAAACACAACTATGGGTATAAGAAAACCACACATACATAGATCAGAAAATATCATTTTGCTGTCAAAATAGAGTCATTTATTGAACTAGTTTGTCGCATAATTACACAAAAATACTCAAGTACTTACTGCTTTATATCAGTGTAACAGTATAAGACCTTAGTTCTTAAACAATGAATAAAAATCTAATCTTAATTTTAGTTTCTGTACTATTGTCATGCCATCTGCAGCATTGGAAACCATCTCTTTCTCTCTGCATTTGTAGCTGTTAGTAAGGAATCCCACTGACCCTCTGCACAAGTATGACTTAGGGAGCTACTACATGCTGACTGGAGACTACATGAAAGCTGGAGAGTATTACCGTTATGCCGTAGCTACGGATCAGTCTCACCAGCCCAGGTGAATGACAGTCTGTGTTTACTGTGATTGTATTTGATAGAGCTGTCTTCATGACTCTCTGTGATTTTCTCCCAGTCTGATCATGTGTGGTGTCCTGGCGTTCATGTCTGAGCAGTATACGAATGCACAGACTTTCCTGAAACAAGCAGCCACAATGGAGAGCTATGGTGTGGAGGCCTGGACTTTGTTAGGTTAGTAACAGCTCTTTTATTGCTGGTACATAGTAGTCTTCATCTCAAATTCAACTAAGTGCTAAAATAGGATAATTTTAGAAGTATATTTAATTTCAGAAGTATATTTGATTTACTCTACTCTACAAAATATGACCTTTTTATACCTTTGCCACAATGAGCATAAGCACGTCTCTTGAACACAACAACAGTATGCAGTAAGCCTCTGTAGCATCTGGTATCCCCAGTGGTCTCCCATCCAAGTTCTAACCAGACTCAACTCTGCTTAGCTTCTGAAATCAGATAAAATCAGACATTGGCTAGGACACAGGTGTCAAACATAAGGCCCAGGGGCCAGATCCAGCCCTCCAAGACCTTCAATGTGGCCCTTGGGTGATTTTCTACTAAAATATTTTAAATGTTGAAATTGTATTTTTCTTAAAGTTTCAGGTTGTTCATAATATTATAATATTATAATAAGAAAGAGTTCATCAATTAAAAATGATTTCTGTAATAGATTTGTGTTTCTCTGCACAAATATTTGAACTTATTGTTATTTTTGGGGTTTATATGCCATGATTTTTCTGATCCGGCCCCTTTGGGATCAAAGTAGGTTGGATACAACCCCCGGACCAAAATGAGTTTGACACCCCTGGTCTAGGACATTGTCTCCCAAAGACTGGGCCACGGCCCTCAGGTGGGTCGCAAGAGATTTTTTTTGGGTCACCTTGTCACGATCTGCATGTAGGTCTGCAATATACAGTTCTGACACATGAGAGCGAGTGACTATTTTGTTCCAATATTGCTGGTTCAATTGAATGCTGAAAAGAAAAAGAAATATTCTACATTTAATGTCCAAATAGGTGACTTATGGATCCTTTTATTGCTGGTTCAGTTACTGTTTTTCATTGTTTAAAACTTGAGTAATACTAATTGTTCAGAGAGACACACACATCACTCAGTCAACAAAAATAATAATAACAATAAATAAAATATCCTCATTAAGGTTCAATAATGATCAAATCCACCTTTATTTTGTGATTTACGAATAATGTCGATTGTCTTGGGGCATGAAAGTTTGTGACTTTTAAAATATGGGTGCCCAGAAAAAAAGTTTGGGAAATATTGGTTTAGGAGATATGGATTAAAAAAATATTCTGGCAAAATATTCTGAAGTCCTCTGAAATGAATGACAAATCTAAGTAAATTACACTGTAGGTAAATCACTGCTGCATAACTGCATAAATGTGTGTACTTTGGCTCAAACAACTCTATTAAAATATATAATTTTAGGAAGGAACTGTATCTTATTAGGCATTTTTCATCAAGTTGTAGCTGAACTAAAACTATCTCTCGGTGTACTTGTAGGCCTGCTTTACCAGAGCCAGGAGGATGCGATTCAGTGTGAGGGGGCTTTCTTGGAGGCCAACAAGCTGCTCAGAGCTAAAGAGGACCCGAAGCTGAAGGAGGTGCGGAAGTTCTGGTCTGAGCTGGCGGAGAGGGGCGCAGAGGAGAGAGCTAAGATGGGGACAAAGACAACTCCACTTACTCCACCGCAACAAACCGAACACCACCAAGGTCTGACTGGGAGAAAGAGACAGAACATTTATTGTTGCGTGAAAATTAAATGACTCAAAAAGAAGTAAAAAGTAGCTGTAGTAGTCAAGAGTATGCAGATATTTGGGCATTTGGAAGTGATACATGTTTTATATTCAAAAGACTTTGAAATGATTACATTGTACTTTACCAGGAAATATCTAAAAGGAGAATTCACAAATGGTTAACCTGATTTACAGTGACAACTAGACCTAGTATCTCACTATATTACAACAAAAAAACGGCATTTTAATAATTTTACTTCTAGCTGCCCCATCTGTATTATGGCTTGTGAAAACGAAATGAGTATTTGTCCAATATTCAGACTAGGAAACATGGAATTATTTGAAAACTGTATTTTTTCTTTCAACAAAAATAGAAAATATAGGAAAAGTAAAAGGAGTTTATAATACCAATATGTAGATCTACTCATGGGGTAAATAAGGTAGAACATTCAGGGTGTTGAACTTGAATAATATCATATATAATATCCAAATAAAAGCTATGGGTTAGGGTTAATTTACTGGAAATTAGAATTAGGACTTTATTTTTAAACAAATACATTTAAACACATATAACCACCGAAACAAGACTAATATAATACTTTTTTTGAAGAATCCGATGATGGAAATGAAGAGTGGAGTCAGGACGCAAAGAACCACGAGGAGGAGCAGAGAATCTTAAATAGAGTCACAATTTACACAGAAACAGTCAGCTTCCTGCTGCAGAACTCTGCTGTACAGGTAAAGACTTCAACAGAACAGTAAGGGTCAACTATTTATACAAAAGGCATGTGCATTCTTAACTAGCATCGGTGATATATATTCTATTTTAGCAAAAGAGCTTTTCATATTGAGAATGATCAACTGTGGCTTGCTCTGACATGACATCGTATTCTGAAATAACATTGTATTCTGAAATGACATCACGTTCTCATATAATATCACATTCCCAAATGACAGTAGCTCTAAAAGCACCTAAGAAAACATTAGGATTTCAGTATATCATCAGATCTAAACCTTCTTTAAAACAGGACAATTTCAGGCTTAAATTGGTGCTAAATTAGGTGTAAAATTGGACCATAACATTGCTGCAACACTACATAAATTACCCAAAGGAGGACCAAAATATAGCTTACTCTAAATTAAACTTAACTGTATAAAACGGCACTTACCATCAAAAGAACCTTGCATACCACCAGTGGTACCATAGTTTGAGAAACATATGACATATGTGATATGACATCACATTCTTTACAGTGCGACCCCACGGCACTTTGGGGATCGCAATGGGCCTTTTCCCTTAAATATATGAGAACTACCCTCTTCTGATAATTGTGTATATGTGTGTAACTTTTTAGTGTGTCTATTTGTAGATGGCAGAGCGTGCATTGGCCCTGGAGCTGCTGTCTTCAGATGGAGGTCGTTCTGTGCGTTACCTCCTTCACCTGGCCCGTCTCCAACTGCTCAGGAAGAACTACAGCAGTGCCTTAGTCAGCCTGGAGGAGGCGCTGAACCACGACGATGAGGTCAGCTTCAGCATGTTCTATTACACAATAATGATTAGAGACAATTTACAAGAAATCCTCTTATTTCTTTTTGTTGTGCAAAGTAGCCTGTCACAATATCAACACATTGTTCAAAAAGTGAAGATGAACAATATATTTGAGCATACTATTTATTGCGTACCTTTTATTTGCATTAGAGGAGACCTTTACTTTTTTTCATAAACTAGCATTTGAAGTGAAGTACTTGTCTATTTTATGTATTGCATCATGTTTTATTTATATAATAGTTTATTAAGAAAAGGGTTAGTCAGGATTATCCTACTTTAAGATGATTGTATCAGTGACATAAAGTAGTTTTTTCAATATTATAATTTATTGGGGCGGCAGTAGCTCAGTTGGTAGAGCATTCGCCCACTGATCTGAAGGTTGGCTGTTTGAATCCAGCTCTCGACATAAACATCACAGGTTGGCTGGAGTGATTCCAGCTCCCACAGATGAATGCTGCCATTGTGTCCTTGGGCAAGACACTTAACCCACCTTGCCCACAGTGTCTGCATACACTGTGTGTGAATGGGTGAGTGGTTCCTTGTTGTAAAGCGCTTTGAGTGCCTTGAAGGTGGAAAAGCACTATAGAAAAATGTGACCATTTACCATTTTACCATTTACCATTGGTGTTTTAAGGTTTTACTCCCAGATAGGGTGACATAATGATCATGATTCAACCAAAAGTTAAATTCATAATTGATCCTTTTGCATTAGTGACTAGTCCCTAAAACTTTCTGTATTTCATCAAAAAATTGCATTTGAAGAATATTAATCTGTAATTCCCCATCTGTTTTAAATATAAATGTTATGGTAACAGACCCTAGTGTAAAACTGACTGGTTTCTCCTCTGCTTCTCTGACAGAATGCTGAGGCCTGGGCTCTGAAGGGCCACTGTCTCTTCCTGCAGGGCTCCCTCAGCTCTGCTAAGGACAGTTATGAGTGTAGTCTGAGCTTCCAGCCGCCTCCACAGAACCCTCACCTGGTGCTGCTCAGGCTGGGGGACATCTGCCAGCAGGAGGGACAGGTCAGCTCTTAGACACCCACATACACACGACTAGTACTTAGAATGTGTCAATTTGTGAAAATTCCGTCAAATAATTAAGCTTTAGTTGCAGATATGTGATGCAAATTTAATTGAGCACATTCACATCACATTCCAAAAGACATCACATTCTGAAATAACATCACATTCTGATATAGCATGATCTTCTGATCAGAGTTAGACAAAATAAAACACACAAAAAACATAATTTAACACAAAAATAACAGTTTGTATTTGTATTGTGTCCTCAGTTTGAACAAGCCAAACTGGTCCATCTGCAAGCCTGTGAGCAGTCCCCATCCTGCCTCACCTGGCTTGGGCTGGGAGCTGCCTGTTACCGGGTAAAAAACAAATTACACTGTTATTATTAGTACTTATTTACACGTTTTCCCTAAATTTAATCACTGTACCCCTAACACTGGAAGACCAATAAGAGTTCCTTCTATATTCCCATATTTTTTCATTTTTATTGCGCAATGTACTTTTCTAAATGGTTGTATTACTGTGTGAAAGTTGGAGGAGCTGAGCCTGGCTGAAGCTGCCCTGACTGAAGCCAACCACCTGAACAACCAGAATGCACAAGTGTGGGCCTACCTCTCCTTCATCGCTCTCAAGGTGAGCTAAGGCTTTATACAAGAAAACAATAGTGCAAATGTACAGTTATTGTGAATGGAGCAGTGATAGCCTGTTTAGATCAGATTTGGTGTCTCTAAAGATTCTTCAGATTCTTTGTAATGATTCGGAAGTAAGATTTTCCTGAAGTCCACGACCATCTCCACTGTCTTATCGCAAGCCTTCTTAGAAAGTAGGTCATATACACGTGGTGTCCAGGAGAGGGAGCGGGCCACTATGGCCGTTACAACTAAAGACATTGTTAGTCACTAAACACAAGCTCTGTGTATCAGGCAATCAACTAAAAGAGGACCTGGCATGGTGCTGGAAAAAGATCCAAAAATCATTAGGATCTTGTAAACAACATCTTGGAAAGGGAAAAATCTGATTAATCTGCCCAGTCACTCCAAAACTCCAGATAGCTCTACTTTCTTCTACTTTACTTTCTGCTGTTGTGCCTTTATAATCTCAGTAAAATAACAAATAAAAAAGACACCATCGACTAAATGACTCCAGCCTGTGTGTGGAACTGGGATGAAGAGACTGAAAACAAAGATGTCAGAAGAAAAAGAACACAGTCTATCAGTGGCTGTGTTTAAGATGATTGAAATGACATGTAAAATGACAAATAGACACATTTCTTTCTCATTGTTGTCCCCCTGAATCAGATCATTATTAGATTTTCGTGAGCATGTGAAAATAGATGATAAACTTGCTTTGATTATGATTGCTGTCTATTTATTGCACGTGTTATGAAGGGCACTTTGGTCATCTATAACGTTTATAAAGCACCTTATAAATAAAGTATGTCTTGGTTTGAGGGAAAGGTTATACCCTCCAAAACTGAATGTTTGACAGATGCGCATAAACTACTTTCTGTTGTCCTCTGTTTCAGTCTGGCAGGATTAAAGAAGCAGAGCAGTTTTATAAATACGCAGTGAAGGTGAGTCTGAAAACTATCATCCACATAGCTCATTACGATACCTGTTATATTCACAGTATTCATGTCGTGTTGCAGTTTAAACTCCACAATGAAGAGCTCATCAGAGAGTATACACAAATACACGACCAGGCGCGCTTCAGCTACCTGGACGACTGCTTTAAAGGAGCTGCCATTTAACAAACCGTATGTATGCTGAGATCATGTTCAAGATGAGAAGTAGTGAGTAACTTTTCTGGTGGAGGAGGATACACCAGCTGCTTGCCTCTATGATTATGTTAATGCTTTGCCAAGAATGTTCCGCAGTATAGCATTAAGCATATCAACCGCCAGACCAAGTTACAGTACGTTTGATCTCTGGACAGGTATAAATATAATGAAAAAGATCAGTTTAATGTCATACTTTGAAATATTCCAGGCAAAGCATTAACATCTCCATGGAGACAAACAGGTGGCTGACCACTTACCAGAAAAGTTACGCGGTGCACCTTTAATTTCTATAAAATCTACAGTATATCTAGAATAATATCTAACCTTTGCTGTTATAAGAATGTATTTTATTACACATTTGGTCAAGAGCTGAACATAAAATAAAAGTTTAATTGACAAAGAAGTATATGATTAATGTATCTGCATTAGCACAAGTTTACATATATTTCAACAAATGATTCACAATCACTGCATACAGAAAAGTATCATAAATCAGAAAATACATTCTACAAATGGCATATAGTGACTTCAGTAATGAGTAATAAATAAATATAGTTTATTCAGTTCATCCATGTTAAATGTTCTGTTCTAGTGCCATATGAAATTTGGCACAGGCTGTGTTCACATCTGCAAACAAATGAACACAAATGAGCTCCAAACACCGCATAGTCATCAACAGAGTCTGTGTGTTTGTCTGTGTTTTTCAGTGCTGCTGGTTATTAAAGAAGGAGCCCTGCTGTCTGATACGAGAGAAGATGTCCTGGAGCCAGGGGGAATCTTCATAGAGCCGTGGGTCTCCCAGACACTCCGCCGTGCGCTTGTAGAAATAGTAGTAGAGCACTGAAGCTGGGGACAAACACATGCACTTCATCACTTATACAATTACTATTCAAACTCATTAGCATTATTAAAATACCTGCTCTACTTTGCAAAATGTCTTCTATGCTTCCTCAATTATCTATTATGGTTTTCTCTATTGACTACTTGGTTTGACATGTTGAACTTGATCATTAAAGGTGCACTGTAATTTTTCTGGTTGAGGGTCCGCCATCTGCTTGTCTTGAATATCCCACAGTATGGCATTAAACTTCTCTTTATTGAGACAAGCAGGGGACCTCACCAGGCTAAGTTACAGGTCAGATCTGGGTAGGGGTGACCCTGCTTACAGTAAGAATATTTTTAAGGTATTTCTTAATAACAGGAATAACAACAACTACTGAATTAACAAGACAGCTAAGTTTAGTGCTATACTCTGGAACACTGAAGGCAAAACAATAACATCTCATTGGAGACAAGCAGGTGGCAAACCCTCCAACAGAAAAGATACACAGTGCACTGTCAATATAAGTGGCAAGGTTTATATTAAAATGAATTCAGCTAAATAACATTGATAACTGCTGACGTGCCTCCCATTTCTATTAGAATAATAGGTCTGGAGCTGTGATGTCATCTGAATATGCACCGTGCGATGCTATAGAGTCTTCAAGTGATTCAGTGGACTGAACAAACAGAATGATTTAAACTACTATATTTGCAGAATCTCTAATTAAGTACAAGCCATTTGGATAAACAAGCCAAAATAGTTGTGTTATCACTTTATGCAGCATATAAAAGTATTGAATTACCACTTCCATAATAACTTTTTAGACAAATATCTAAAGCAGGGGTTTCCAACATTTTTCCTCTGGTGAGCTACCTTTACAAAACAAAAATGCCGGAGAGCTACTCATTTTAGCGGCCGCAAGAAACTGAGACGATTATAAGAAAGAGGGCGAGCCTTGGGGTACTGGCCTGATTCATGAGCCAGTTTCACTTCGTGGAAACTGGCTGATCTCGCAGCGTTGGAATTCGTTCGCTCGACGGTAGGTGGGTACTACAATCGCTGCTGTTTAGTTGTGGCGTATGTAATGCGCCGCTAACGGGGTTAACTGGTATATTAAGTTTTTCCCAAATCCCATAGGAAGAAGAGCAATAACGTCTTTCCCCTTGATAAAATTCACCAAACATTCTCTTTGTTCCGGCTTTAAATCCTCGATCTCGGGAATTGTTGCCAACACAGAATATATGGCTCTTCACTGATTGGCTGGTGCCGGGACTCACACTTCTGGTAATTCTTGCAAGCTGTCTAGTGTATTCTGATTCCTGACCTAGTCGCTGGAGAAAAATAAAACTGAGATACATTTGATGCCTATAAAACCTAAACTGCTGTCCATTTATTAGTGCATAAAGTTGGGCCTCAAAAATTATACATATAAAATGGTAATAGGCATGTAACTGAACAACAAAAATTTGGTTAATACTGAAATCCCTTGGTGAGCTACTTAGAAGGGGGTAAAGAGCTTCTGGTAGCTCCGGAGCTACAGGTTGGAGACCCCTGAGCTAAGGATTAATAACACGATTAATGTAGTAAATGTGCACAATGTAACATTTTTGGAGTTGGTTGAGCTCGACAGAAACAAGTCAGATCTGTTGAGAGTCAAGCCCCTTTACAGTAAGAATGAATGCAAATTTAATGAAATAGTGTTGAACATTCCAGGCATCTCTGTAGGCACAAGCCGGTGACAGATCCTGCTCTAGAAAAGCAAAACTCAAATCTTTTATCCTCAGTATACAAGATGGAGTATGGAGCATTTCAAGGTTTGCACAAAAACAGCAGTCAAACAAATGATATGTTCCAGTCTCAGTGGAGCTTTAAAATAAAGTTTAGAATAAAGTGAATGGTATGGTTTCTATCTTATGGGTGGGTCTAAGTGCTGGGTAAACAACAGCAGACATAACATAAACAGTACATGTCTACATGTTAAACACTGGATCACCTGCTGTGGGCAATACTAGAGCATAAATCCTCTCATCTGCTTATGAGCTTATGAACGTGAATGAATTACACCCACACAGAGGAGACTGCATTAGGACCACACAGAAATGATTGACAGGGTACAATGCTATTAGTTTTATAGAACATTTAAGAATGAATTATAATACAAATGTTTCCTTCTACTGCATTAAATGAATCTACTTTGTCATTAGCACTGAATTATAAAATCGTGTGATGTGAAAATGTCAGATGGAAAGTGGGCTAATATTACTCTATGAGCAGTGGCATTAGTTAAAATCCAATCCAAAAGTAGATGATTCTCTTGCCATATTGTTCTGTGGCTTAAGGCTTTTATTGTTGCTGTAGGGAAATGTGTCCTGGTGTAGTGGGCACCACAGGGTAGCGCCTAAAGGCTACCAGGGTTTTACTGTCTAAAAACTAGTGTGTCTGTGTTTCCTAATGTGTACACTGTGTCAGCATGTAAAAGTGTTCATTAGCAGTGACTTAACAGTCTTTATATTTTTTTGCTAATCTCTATGGACAGGTTACCTTAAATATGGCTTTTCCCCAATGTCCAGGTTGTTTTTAATAGTTTACCAAGCTTTTGACACTGTAAGGACAACTTGAGGATGGAAATGCAAATTACCTGTCCTGTGAAGCATAAACAGCACTTGCAGTCCGTCCGTCCAAATATATGTGTTAGTGTTAAACCAGCGCAGATTCTGGAGACAGGACACAGTTTAGAGGATATCACAGATCAGTTGGACATGTGTAGTGTAGTGTTAGCCTGTACCATGAGCCAGCAGTGCAGCGTGATACTGAAGATCAGGTAGAGCATAGAGAACATGAGCAGAGCCCGGAAACGCTCCAGTAACACAGACACCAGCCCCACTTGGAACACATACGTGTTGAACAGCATCAGCAGGATAATGATGAGGTTCAGCAGGATGGAGATGTCCTGAACACTGTGAGGCCAGAAAAGGGGAAAATGTGTGAGAAAATGTCTGTTTTCACCTACCTCCTATCCCTGCCCACTGCTCTCCATTTACTTGTGATTATTCTAAAACCTCCACAGGAAGTCAATGAACCATTTCGTTTATTAAGTTGTTTTAGATCAATACTGCTCTTTCCAATAAATATTTGTTTATGTTGTAGTTTAATACTAAATACCTAAAAAACATACAAAATATATCCAAGTACTGAGTAAGTAAATGTTGGAATGTAACTTCTGATTTATATTCAGCTCCTGGTATTTCTAAACTCTTAACAATAGTATATAAATAACTAATACATAACTAAAAAAAAAAAATTTCAAATAGAAAAATAGAAGAGCGAGGACTCAAACTCCACCACTGCAGATAGGTGTATGTAATATGTAACCAGGACAGTCCTGTGTGATGTTACATAGTATTTAAAACTGCAGTGGACAATGGAGCCAGCACACTCAGTTTTAGACCAAAAATGTATTTATTTATTTGCACTAAAATTGTCAAAAAGGACTCGGAACAGTAAATAATGTAATTAAAATGCCACTAATGCCATTAAGTAGCCAAAAATAAAAAATTCAGCAAACTGATGTAGTATTTAGTTGCACTTAAATTGTATTGATGTTAAAATGATATGACAAATGTGATGACATTATGGCTGACATCAGTCCAGAAGGGTTGTGCTACAGCCAGTGTTGGGAGTAACGCGTTATAAAAGTAACGAATTACAGTAATGCATTACTTTTTGCTGTAACGCAGTAATGTAAGGCATTACAGGGGAAAAAAATAGTAATATTTTACTCGGTACAAATGTGAGTAACGCGCGTTACAATGTTTTTTTTAACCTGGATTGAAGTGGTGGGTTTTTCTTCATACAAATTCGCTAAAATCACCTCGATATCAGCAGCGGTGAAACGCCGGAGAT